CCCTCAATCGCTCTAAGACGTTTGACACTAAACTTTTCAATTTTAGTCTCTAAGCTTATTTTTTCTTTCATCTTTTTATTAGCGACGGATCAACAATAGGAGTTATTAGAGTTTGTAAAATATATGGTTGCAATGGCATCGGATTAGAGACTTTAGGAAGAGTTAACTCGTATATATTCCCAAGTGTAGTATGGTCGGTTAGATTCACAATGCTAACATCTTCTTGGTGGAGAGCAAAGAAATAAGGCATAGTAATCATCATTCGAGTAATGGGTATCGGTATGGAAGTGAATACCTCAAGGATGATAGCCTAGACAGTTCACCAAAATTTGCTTTAAGTAGGTGCTTTAAGTAGGTGTGCAAACTTGCAAAATTTGCTCAAATAAAACAACTAGCCTAGACAGTTCTACTTTTAGAGCACTTAACTCCTTCTAATGGTTTTGCTCGAGTTAAGCTCTTTCTTTATTATCCTTTTTTGCTTTGACTTGAGTTATCAACGCTTAAAGGGGGAATATAGTTTTGAAAAGAAGACTTATGCTTCTCTAGGTAAAATAACAAAACACGAGTAATATAAATAATTTTAACATAAAATAAAGACATTTGTTACTAGATATGGAGTAGTCATCTATAGAGTAGTCATCTATGGAGGGTGACAAAAGAGTTCCTTCTTTTTTATTTCTTCACCCACGAGATTGCTTACGGTAGGTTTAAAGATGTGATTATTCACATTAGTAACCTTTTGATGCTTTAGGTTGATGCTTGTTTGGACTAAGTTTGAACTCTTTTATCATCCATCCCGAAATATTTTGACTAAGTTATCTTAGTCAAGGTTTCAAACATGTTTGACTTATCCATTTCATTTAATCAAAAGATGATGGTCCTAAAGTTTAGTTCTAACCAATATATGAATAGGTAAGCTCTATCTAACTCTCAAAAGGGTACCTTCTAACGTAGTAGACCTTTAGTAGGTTCACTAGGACTATCCATGATGACATTAGCAATCATAAAAATCATTGATTACCTATCACAAATGGTAACTAGCAAGGTTTTATGAGCTTTTACCTAGGACGAAACCCATCAAGACACCACTTTTAACTCCTTAGATCCTAAAACAAATGTAAATGACAGCTTATAATTATACAAGTGATGTATGTGGGGCATTACTCCATATCCAAATCTCAAAATTAAAACTAAAAAACTATAATTAAAAAAAGCTACATAGAGAAGATAAAACATAAACAACACACTTATAGATAGATATATTTTCGCAATACAAAAAAGTTAAACAATTAAATAATAATTATTCACTTAAAATGTATAGATATAAAAGCACAACAAACAATCACATATTTATGAACACGAAATTTAAAGCTTGACCCTAGCATGGCTTGTCCCTAGAGGAGTCGTCATTCTATCAATGTGGGCTTGTAAGGAATATTCGAGAAAAAGGAGTCGTCATCTAACTAATCGAGAAGAACTAAAAAACCTTAAACATACTATTCCGTATAAATATCCGGATAAGGGGTTGGTTATGTATGAAAAAGATATAATATCATTGTCATCCCGTTTTACCTAAGGTAAGCTTCATTGTTTGCATGTGAAAATAAAAATTTTGATTTTACTTTTATTTTATCGAGATAGAATAGTAAGTAATTCGTGATTTAGGTCGATCTAAAAGCAATACCCATACTCAAAGGAAAAAGGTGGTGGAGGTTAGAATTCTTTCTAATCTTTAGTAAACACAACCTATGTTGATAAATAAGTGAGTTTCTAAAGATTGATAGCCTTTATTAACATGCACACCAAGTCATTAGTAACTTCGCCGACATTAGTGGGAAGCTATCGATGAATTTGAGTCATGAATTTAGAAAGTTATCGATAATTTCATCACATAAGTAGAGAGTCACCAACAACTTTATTTCACACAAGTAAGGAGTAGATAACTTTCTTGAATGTTTGAAATCATGAAATAAAATATTTCATGATATGAATGCAATTAGAATGCACATCAAGCATATACATGAACATGAACTATATGGTATTGAGGCATTCATGAATATTTTTCATATGTCATGAGAAGATCGAATATCATCAAACCTAAACTAACTATGAACACAATCTAAACAACCTCACTTAATCACCAAATATGAATTTATCAAGCCAAACAATCGTCAAGCATTTTTAAGGTCTTAAGCCGAAGCCATCACAAGACACAATTATGAAATCCTCTATTAAGCCTACCTCGATCGAACAATCATCCATCAACACTACCCTCCATATTATTCAACCAAAGATACCACATTTAGCAAAAGCATACATTCTTCATTGATTATCGTATGCGATGGCATAACAATTTTTGTCAACGAAAATCACATTTCATGGCTTGACACTTTTTGTCAACGAAAATCTCACGTTATGCTTTGGCACTTTTGTCAATGAAAATCTCGTGCCATGACTTGTCACTTTCATCAACAAAAACACGCAACACCAACCCAATCAATTATCACTAAAATAATCCAAAATTCTAACAACAAGTCCAACAAGCATAAGTCAATCCAAGACTATCAAGTTTCCTCAAATCATTCAATTAACTAATCTAAAATCGAATCAAAACAATATTTCTTAAGTGTCTAATTTAACCAAAAATATATCTTTCAATTACTCAAACATAACTAAACAACATCAAACACATGCCAAAGTCAAAACCTTAATTATCCATTAAGCACCAAAACACATGATCAAGTGATGTTAATTAACTACCTAATCCAAAATCAAGTAACATCGAGCAAAACACCATTTAGCCGAATCATCCATCATCACCATCATTAATCAATTATACAAGCCAAATCAAGTAATAGCAATTAAACCTCAACCATACATTCGTAAGCCATGGTCGAATTATATCAAGTAGCAGAACCATCACCAAATCAATAAACCAAGGCCAAATCCATCAAAAATCACCCAACACAATTAAACCAATCTCAATTTACACATACCAATCACCATAACTATGAATATTCATCAATTAAGTTTAACTAATAATTAGTCACATAGCCCAAAAATAGAAATTTTAAAGTTTTACATGAACACCACATTATCCATGTTAAATTTACAATTAAACACATACCGATCAATATTACAATAGTCATTCACCAATTAATTACTTACCCAACAACTTCACAATGTAAAGTCACCATTTAGCAACTAACCCAAACCGTTGAATTATAAGTTTGCATAAATACATTATTAAACACATTTAATTAACAATTAAATACATACCATGGCATCACAACAATAAAGTTTTATCGGTTGCACGATTCAAGTATCAATCGCACACTATTCAATCAAATATCCAATTAGAAACCATAGGTTTCACAAGCACACAAATACCTAAATCAACGTATAATTACTTTAAGTCTTGTGGTGAATTGAAGTTACACTTACCTTAGGTTAACTAAAAATGAAATCACCTTAAAACTCCTAAAAATCACACCTATCTTCCTTGCTTAAAGTTTTGGCCAAAACAACCCCCTCTCCCTTTTGAATAATTTGCTCCTTCTTTCAGCCAAGCTTGCTTCCGTTGAACAATTTCAGCTTCTTTCCTTGGTAAATTTCGGTTCTCTCTTGCTTTCTCTCTTGTGATTTGGTCTTTCTTGCTCTTTTTCTCTCTTAATATTCAAGCTCTCTTAATGATGGGTGGTGGAAGAATGAAAGCTCAAGTAAAATTTTCCCCCTCTTATTTCCCTCTCTTGGTCGAATTTTTTTAATCTAAAATACCCTTAATGAGTTATATGCTCTAAGGTGGTTATTTTATACTTAGACATTTTAATTTAGGTGGAACATCTAAGTTGGATATTATTTCCTAGATTAATACATATTTAGGTAACTAATTACATTTCAATTCTAGATTATACATGTACGAAAATCATTTAATTAAACTATATTTACAAGTCTTTCACTTGTCAATTAATCCACTATTCACATATAACACTTAACAAACATTTAATTTTACAAACAAAATATGTATCATCAATAACACAAGCATGACATGAACATAATTAACAAAATAAATATTCACACAAAGCATAGAAATTAAAATTTCAGTATCACATTGAGTATATATGTTTTTGTGTGAAAGAGATAATAAACAATAGTATGTGTATATATATATATATAGTGAGAGAGAGAGAGAGAGAGAGAGAGAGTAGAATTTAAAATCTAAAATTCTTGGTACGTAGGGTTCTTATATAGACGAGAATTCTGTCAAGTTGCATGATAAAGGGAGTAGAGTGTTCTATTCCTTAGTTGTCGATAGTTTTTAACACCAAGTTAGAAGATTTATGCTTTTGATGTGATTTGTTTTCTAACAATACCTGTATCATCGTGGTTAGTATCAATTGGACAAAAACAGCTTTGAAAATGTGTCTTCCCTAAATGTATGTCTTTTCTTTCATAATAGTGGGCGGAGCGTATCCTCTTCACTTGGGATGAATGCCCAGGGCAGAAGGGGTTATGGCATCCTATTTGAGGTGCTTGGTTGGTTGTTGGCTTTGAGGCTTTGACCCAGAATCCCACCCTCTGGTATAGTTTATTTAGGATGCTCTCATGTATCATCCAGACTCATCAATTCCAATACATTAAATTCAATTTATTGATTTAAGGTTCCAATACCTTCAATATATTCTACGTTTTCTTTCATGTTGTTTAGTTCAAACACAATTTTCATGTCTTGTTTAGGAGATTCTGTTGTGTATTTATAGCCATATTCATGTTGACTAGATTTGTAATTTCATTTATTTTTAATAAAATCATGATCCCTTTTATCGAAAAAAAAAAAAAAAAAAAGGTAATAAAAAAAGGCATGTGCAAACATCATTCAACTCTTCTCTGTATTACAAAAACGTTCAGGGTGTTTTCATTAAAGTGAGATTCAGTGAAGCTTAGGTTTTCTCAGCACAAGGTTAATAGGTTATAAAACTGTGGGAATCCAAGAAAAAAGACTAGTGATGAGGTTGGGTGGACTGACCAACAAGCACTCGTCCAGCTGAGGAAACTGGTTCCAAACTTGTTGGTTCCCTAGCTGCGATGTGTGCACTTCCATTCTCAACAGCTTCCACATCAACATCTGCATCAGTGGGAGCCCCAGCAGTCTCAGTTCTGACAGGCCAGAGAAGCCCCTGCATTCTCAATAGATAGCTTTGGCTGGAAGGCACAGTTCTCACATATCGGTTGGTTGTTATGGTGGCAGGAGATCTTTCAGAATCAGCACGGAGATTAGACAAAGCACTAAGGTCAAGATTTGGGAAGACTGAGCAGCGACACCGTGGACATTTCACATTTAGTCGAAGCCACTCGTCAATGCATTCAACATGGAAATTATGTGCACAAGGCAGGCCACGGACCTGCAAAATTTTTAGCAAGGACCTTTGGTAATTCAACTGTTTTTTATTTCTAGCCTGTGCTATTTGTCAACTCTAACACGTAACAAACCCAATCATGCAAAAGACAATATGAAATGAAATAGTTCGCATAAGGTTAAACTACCAGCACTAACCCTTCAATTACTAAGACAAAGTGATAATTCTGTTCATGATTATCTTTATAGGTGACCTAATATGCAGCCAAATGACTTGGTGGATAAATTGCTCTGAACTAAAATACTTGGAATATATTCAGTGGGGGTAAAGCAGATAAGTTTTTCCTTCTGGAGTAGTAACAAACTTGCCCTGCACCAAAAGTTCTATTGAAAAACTAAAAAGCAACTTTTTTAGACATGGAAAGGCTATTTCAAGCTATTTCTGCAGTGGAATAGGTCTCCCCTAGGACAAACTGTGGCACATATATAGCAGAGTGGTCATAAATTATTTACCTCATTCCCTACATGGAACTCTTCGAGGCAGATGGGACATTCACTGCAATCGGTTGGAACAGCTTTGAGCCTAAACTTTGGAAGTTCTTGAATGAGCGCCTCCACTGCTTCTCTCTATGAAAAGACAACATAACCAGAACAGAATTATAAACTAATAAAAAGCTTATGCCAATTTAGAACATTGACACAAGACCAGGTTTCTTCGAAAAGATTAATGGAAAGGATTAGAATCATATGAACTTAAAGTCCAATATAAGAATCCATTAACTTAGACATCCTTTAAAAGATATGTAGGGCAAACCAGACACAAAAGAGAGTTATAATAACATTTCTTGGGATACCAGTCCAATTTCCCTTTGGATGTCCTTCCCTATTAAGGTTAATCCATGCTCTGATATGATAATTTGGATTACCTTCGATGGCCAACTTCAATAAATTTTTACAACACAGACATGGAACCTGCAGTACTGTATTTTTAGGTTACACAAACACGAATGTGCATGATGCTGTCCCAATTAAGATGAAGAAAAAATGGCAATCATAATTCATAGCTCTTATTATTGACTGGCACTTACCTGAGTGGGAGTCAAATAGAGTCCGGGCTGGTATGCAGCAGCATCTTGGCCCATTCCTCTCATTTCTTGACCTGCAGCTTCAAATGCCCAATCTGGCACCCGGATCAAATCAACCAAAACCTGGATTCAGAAGCAGGATGATTAAAAGAAACCACGACAGAAGTAATAATAAACTTTAGTATTCGAGATGTATGAACCATTACCCCAAATTCTGAAATAGGAATGCCCTGCTGAGCACGTAAGTGATGTGCTTGTCTTCGTACCCGCCACTAGAAAAGAAGATTAAAAAATTCAAGGATAAGAAGGGGTAGATGAAAATAAGAAAGCATCAATGAGCAGAATGTTTTGGATACTTGGGGTAAACCATAAAATGTAAAATCAAGGAGAGAAATAGAAGTGCAAGGAACTATGATAACCTTTCCAATGGAGATGCAAGCAATACCAATGAGCCCACAGTAGCTGAAAAGCAACCATATAAGAAAACCCCATTTCTGACCTTCTTCTGGTAACTGCAAGAAGTTAAATACATCACCTGCTGAATTAAGATTGTCTCCAGATGACAATGGTTCCCATCAAGGAATATCAAAAGGAACTTACACAATCTCTTGCACTCGTGAACCAGAGTGTGCCAATTATAGTCCAAGCCCAAAGAAATGGATACAATAGCAGAGAGAGAATTGACAGAACCACCATTCTTCCACAAAAACGGGCATATCTCTGCTGCCACCCAAAATCCCTGAAGAAAATTACAATAGATAAAGAAGAACAATTTGTTAGGCAAGATTCAGCTAACAAAGTGCCTTTTAAAACTTTCAGTAAAAGGACATGCAATGGACTGATGTAGACAACTCAAACTGTACAATTTGTCTATATGACAGGGAAAACAAAATTTTAAGAACAAAACATCTACATCATTGTGAAAGACTTCACTCGCATGAAAACAGGATTAAACCAATAAAAAGCAAGCAAAATCTGTAGCTACTTGATTGCAAGTAGTATTCAAACAACTATCATACAGAATCCTTTTTCAAGAGCACAACAATAATATGGGAGTTAATCCAATATCTTATTCAAGCAAATTTCTTTCTTGAAAACTCTCCAAAATATTTAAAATTAAACTTGAATGCTACATAATGCAGAATTCTCATCTAAAGTAGCAGAAACCCCTAATTAAAAAAAAAAAAAAAAAAAATCGATGGCGAGGTGTATAAGTTAACAGGCCTTACAATCCCATTCCAGCAGCAAGTCCATTATCTATGAACATCAGCAAGCGAAACACAAAAACAGTAGTGTAATCAACCTGAACCAACAAAAGTTAGAAATCAGATACAAAAGAATGCCACTGAATTCTCATAATCAGTTTGAGATGCAATTAGATAGAACAACCTACCATTATCCATATGTGTAAAGGGTATGTACAGAGATGGTAACGCTTCCAATTGATGGCAACAATGATTCTATTAGTAACATTGTTAAAGAAAGAACAAACAACGCAATCCCGACTCTCATTTCCCATTAAATAATCGCTTAGAACCCAATTCCTGACCTAACTTTCTTGGGAAATTCAAAAAAATGCACAAACAGTTTTTCTTTGAAATCAAACCAAAGGGTATTATTATGATAAAAAACCAAGAAAAGATAATAAAAGATTGCTGTCAGATAAAACACCAAAAGAAAGCTACAAATAAGAAGATTAGGTAAGAGTCTAGCTAGCTACTACACCATAGAAATCAGACTCAAAGATTCAAACTTTCTCGAGAATCAAAGAAATAAAATTAAACCCTTAATTATGTGAATGTCAAAACTTAAAATGTAAACATAATAACAAGGATACGCACTTGTAGCTAGCATTGACAAGAAGAAGCCATCGTACCTGCAAAACCCAATCCTTTTTCAATATGAAAAGAAAAATCTTGAAACAAAATGGCATGCACCAGTGTAGGATATCTATATGAGAAGTGAAGATAATTAGAAGGAAAGATTGAGGACAAACCACTTGAAATCGACGCCTCTCATAGCCATAACTAACCGGAAAACCCTAAGCAGAAAACGAAAGAAAGAAAGACTTATTACAAGAAAGAGGGAGGAGGAATGAGTGAATGTCTCTGTATGTCAGTCAGTGACTAACAATTCTCGTAATTTCATCAGGGACGAGAAATGAATCAGAATCTTTCATCTGCGGAGTACTATGTTTTTTCTACTAAAAGCAGTAATTGGTAACTGAAACTGGATTAAACAGAGAGTTTATAAAAACACGCGAAGGGGGGGGGGTGTGGGGTTGGAGCGAGGGAGGGAGAGAGAGAGAGAGAATAATAATGGAAGTATAGAAGAAGAGGAGGTTGACGGAGAGATTTTGTAAATTGACGGCGTTAAGTGGGGTCTTGTTCATTTTTTAGGTAAAAGACAGTAAGCCGTAATGGAATTTTCATTTACTTCTGGAGATTTTTTAATTCCTTCTTATTTTTTAAATTATTGTTGGGCGGCTATAGATTTTATGGAAGCAAAAGCAAGTGGACGACAAGTAGGATTGGGTTGCTGAGGTGTTCAAATTAGGTTAGATCCTAAATAAATAAAAAAATCCAGAAAGAAATTGGTTTAATAGCAAATTTTACTTTTATTTTACTATGATTTGATATTTTCGAACTCATAATATCAAATTATGTAATTTGAATTTTAAATTATTAGAGAATTGGACAAATATAATTTGTCAAATCGCAATTGAACGATTGTAAAAGTTTTCATGAAATCAAAGGAAATTCTAGAAAAAGAAGAAGAGAGATTGTCAATTGATGAAAATGAATTCAGCTTACTTGATTTTGCTTCAAAACGTAAACTCAAAATAGCTTCACGTGACCAGCTTCATCAATTACGGATAAATAAGTTGAAATCACAAAATTATTTTCGATCTTCCTTTTTAGTAAGGATACTTGAAACACGAAGCGAATGAAAGCACACCGAGGCAATGCTAACTTGTAAGGCATCTTACTAATTTTCTATAGAATTTTATAAGGACTATAGACCTTAGGATTAAGTTTCAATTTCTTTCTTAATTTTAATTAAGCTACTCTATCTTTATAGTTGGACCTAATCACCCACCTCAAATTCACTTTCGAAGGAAATTTGTTAGCAATTTACTTCTTGTGCTAAGCATAGCTAATTAATTTTATGAAAAAAAAAAACAACTTTATATCCCTCATTTTTCATATATATAAAATCATTGACGACGACCTACTATATTATTATCTTCATTTACAAATCCCCTACATATATAGTGGCTGAAAATAATTCAAATCTTGAAAAAAAAAACTCATCTTAATTGCTAAGTAAAGACTCCAATTATACCACAAGATAGTCGAGAAATATCTTAGCCAAATCTTTACCTAAATTGAGACATAACTATAAAGTGCATATGCTTTGTGAATTCATCAACAACCACTAGGATGCCTATAAATGGCTTAATTGTGATTAATAACTTCCACCATTTTCTTACTCAAGACCTAATCTTCTCTAATAAAAAGTTTTGTTTTCTATCTCAATATATCATCATCTTAAGAGAATTGAGGAAAATAACTAGTATTAAGCATTTCGAGTAATAATAATATCTTGTATTTTAGAATCTTTCATATAAGATTCAACTATGTCATTAATTGTACCAAATAGGTACTATTGCAATGATTACTCTAAAAGTACCTTTACACAATTACATCTTCATAATAGATCAATTAGCACTCTATGAGATAATGCATCCGGTACTACATTCTCCTCAACCGTTATGAATTGAATTTTATACCTTAATCCAATAGTTTTATCAACCTCATTTTTTTATCTGCATCGTATGAATCTTCTCGCTCAAAAAGATATTTAAGACTTTCATTATTAGTCTTAATGAACTTATCATGCTCCAAATAATACCTTTATTTCTTAATAGCTATTAAGATAGCCAAATACTTTTTTTCATAGATAGACATTTTCAAATATTTTGGGCTTAATGCTTTACTATAAAAATCCAATGGTATACCTTCTTGCAATTACACAACTCCAACACTACATCCATAAATATTTGTCTCAAACATAAATGGTTATTTCAATTAAGAAAAGCTAATATAAAAACCTTGAATAATGTTGTTCTCAATCTTTCAAATACCTTTTGTGTTTTTTCATTCTAGTAAAAATTGTTTTCTTTAGTAATTTTGTTAATGACCTATTGATTAAACCATAACCATGAATGAAATTTCTATAATATCTCATCAATCTAAAGAAACCTATCAAATCCTTCATGATTAAGAAACTAACCAACTTTTAACAACATTTATTTTTTTGGAATCGGTTGCCACTCATGCTCCAAAGATGATATGTACTAAGTATTCTACTTATGATTGGCAAACATAACACTTAGATTTCTTCATAAACAACTTGTGCCTCTTCAAAACATTTAATATCGTCGTAAAATGCTTATAGTTCAAAAGTGGGATAATGTCATGACCCCAAGAATGGGCCATGACCGTCGCGAGGACCAAGGGGACTATGAGGCCTACATCGACCCAAGCAAGCCTTAGATACTAAACTAAATCTCAAATCATGATCGAACTTATACTATAATCCTCAAATCAATATCACACAAATTATCATTCCAATCAACATTATCACAACTTAATAAATGTTTCTTTTACAACCTCAATACAATTCATATTTCAATATCCAAAATCAATATTCATAATTTCATATTCATAATCAACTCCCAATACACTACCCGTAGCTATAATTGCGAGCATCTAAGAATACATTTAGAACAAACATAGGTTCTAAGAAATAACAAGGAAATAAGTCATACGACTAAAGTGCTAACTTCACGAAGACAACTCAAAAAAAGCAATAGGCAATCCCTCAATATCCGATAAAACTAAAATAATGAGAAATGAGCAATCCACAGCTCGGTGAGTAGACATTATATAATATACTAAAAGAGAAAAACATACTAAGGATGATGTTATCAAATTCATGTCAAAATGCAATATTTATTTCTTAAACACAATCATATCAAAAATGCATTTCATATCACAATTAAATGGTTCAAAACCATTTCGTATTAAATCATTAAAGCATTTATACATACATATATTGTACTCATACGAAAACACATATGTAGGTTTTTCATACATTCGTAGGATAATAACGTATCATTGGGTGTGAACATTTAAAGGTCATGCCTCCCATGACTAGGTTTTCTTATGTTGGTCGATATACGATCCAACACTATAACTCTCTTACTAGATGGAGCTTCATATCATTGAGCTCAAAGGCTATCCCTAGGTACTTAGGTTCCCTAGGGCCTCGAAAACATTTTCGAAAACCAATTGTACTTATAAATTTTTCAAATCGATAATTTAAATATCATACATGTATTTTTAGAAAATACACATATATTCAAAATACCGAACATATCATATTCATTCAAATTTGAAATCACATATCAATTTCCATAACACATTAAAATCCCTTTTAATATTCATATCAAATCATTTTGATACGAAAATATTTTGAATATTTAGAGAGACTGTTCCCATCTAAGTTCTAACGAATACTTCTAAATCATTCATAATCCAATGATGCATGATAGACACAATTCAAGGAATGTAAAACATAATACATAATATAATATCCACTCACAAGTATAATTGTAGAACCGAAAAAAAATCAAGACGGTTGGGATGGAGTTACTCACTCGAAGAATCTAGCTTCACAAAATGATGGATCATCCATCAATATCACATAACAAAAAATAATCCAAACAATTAATTATTTTAGAATTAAAAATACAAGATTATCAAATAAAAAATAGAATTAATTGGAAAGACTAGATCTGATAATCTAACTAAATCTTATGATCCCTTAATTGATTCTAATTAATCATTTAATCATATTCCATTGGCAATTTTTAACTTATTCCTTAAACAATTAACCTTCAATAAATCAATCCTTAATTTGATTAAATGTTTAATTTATCCAATAATCACTCCATTCATCTTTAATTATACTTTTATAAGTTAATTCCTCATTTTTCTTAAAATTCTTTCCTATTAAAATCTAAATTCGGATTTTTCACTATTTATCATCTTCGACCTCTCAATTTCTCATATTCACTTAATTTTTACTTCAAATTAACTTTTTATTTCACTTACCAAAGATAATTAAACATCACTCAAGTCATCATAATCACTTAAATCACTGTTCTCCAAATGGGTCTTAAAACCCTAACCTTAATCTAAGCAATTCCTTAAACAAATCACAATCCAAAGATACTCTAACTCAACATCATCATTAACTACACATAAACTTCACAATCTAAAAATCAATGGATCAAAAATTTTACCTTTACATAATGCTCTTCAAATCCCAAATTCGTCATAGTTTTTCAAGCTTCCCAAGATCCAAGTTAACTGGACTCCACTTGAACTTTCTAATTTATGTTTCCCCTAGCTTAAGAATTGAAGTGAAAATAGGGAGGATTTTTAGGAGAGAAATACATAAGAGAGGGAGTAAAAGAGGGGAAAATCTTAAAAAAAAAAAAAAAGAGGACGAGTTACTACTCTTTTTATACTAGCCTTATTATTATTATTATTATTTTAATTTGGGTTATTACATTCTCCTCCTTAAGAAAATCCATCCTCGAATTTTTTAGTCTACCCAAACCCTAGTAGACAAACAAATGAGCATACTTCTTTTCATTCCCTCCTCGGCCTCCCAAATGGTTTCTTCGGTCGAATGGTTCCTTCAAATGATCTTGATGAGCATAGTTTCCTTATTTCATAATTGCTTAACTTAACGGTCTACTACGTACCGCTAGTTATTCCTCATATGATAAATTAGGACTTAATTCTAGCATTTATGGTTCTAGGACATGGGATAGGTTGGGTATATATTTTTTTAGCATGGAAATATGAAACACTATATGTACACTCGAGAATTATGGTTATAATGCCAACTTATAAGCTACTCGCTCCAATTTGACCTATGAT